CCCAAAAAACAGCCAAAGGGGATAGCTAATTCCTACCAAGCCCAGAGCACATCACCTTTTGGACCGTGCGCTGCATGCTGAGCATGGCGACTGGGGTACGGAACTAGCCAGCGGCCGGAGAGCAGCGCTCAAAGGGTTTGTCAGGGACCGTTAGCTGGCTCCCTTCTGGATCAACACTAGGTCCCCCAGTAGTGCCCTTTTACTTTTTTTTTGGGGAGGGTTCCCCTACTAAAATAGACCACAGAAAAAAAGGGTACCCTTATTCTATCCTCTCTACTGGAGCAGGTGGTTAAGGGTAGTTTCTCATTTACCTTCTACAAGAACCAGGGCTTCAAATCCGAATCCAAACCGCCGACTAGGGTACACCAGTCCGGAAATGGAAAAGTAGCACTACCTTCTATGTTCCATGCCTGCATCTCCGAAGCTTGGCTCTCGCCCTCAAACTATTGCCCAACAGCAAAACGGAATCACGCTAACAGTTGGAAGGGAGAGACTCACTTCCTGAGTTCCTGGATTTTAAACTTTTTGGGAAGACCATTTTAGTGGTAAATAAAAGGTTTGGACTTGTTTTGGCCAATCCACTCAGGAAGTGAGGAAGCCAGTCGTTCAAACTAGCTGCAACCCGCCTGTGTAATGTTCGGGAATTCCTGATGTTACTTGCTGTTCATGATTTGCATTTGGTTTTCCTTTCAATTTCCGTTTGGTTTGCTTTTGTCAGTTTCCCTTTCTCCTTTTGCTTAAGAATATGTCTTATTTTCCCCTGTTGGTGTCAAAGGAATCTATCACTACTGGCTGTGTTGCTGTCTTTTTCCCCCAGGCAAATGGAAGGAATCTATCACTCCTGGCTGTTTTGCCGTCTTTTTCCAGGGGGGCGATTTCAGCAAATGGCAGCTTTGGGGTTTCCTGGAGCTCTCCCTCCCGCCAGGGCGCGAACGTGCCGCCCTTTACGGCCAAGGAGGTGGGTGGATTCGTGTCGAAAGAGGCACCCGGTTTGATTCAAATGGCAGGAACTGGGCTGAGGGTTCAGCGAAGCGTCCGAAGGGTGAAGTTCCCCTTGCCCAGAGGCTCCCGATTGATTTAGGGCCTTCAAACAGCCTGGTTTTGAGACCCCCAACCAGGGCTCGGGTCTTCCATTGAAAGCCGAAGCCGATCGGAGCCTCTGGGTGAACACGTCGCTGTTGGGTTTGGGTGTTTAGGTGCTTACCTGGAGTTTCCTTCTGACCCGGATCAAAATTGGTTGGCCAACAGCCCTAAATAACGGGGGCATGGACCTATTTTTATTTCGCGTCATGGAGACTCCAGGTATAGACTGGGTCCCCCAGTGCCCTTTTACCCTTTGTTGGGGGAGGGCTCCCTTACTAAAATAGACTACAGAAAAAAGGGTACCCTTTCTAACCTCTCTACTGGAGGACCTAGTAGAGTAACCACGGAAGAATCAACCCCTCGGGCAATATCTTTTGTTTTGCCCTCGGGGGGTGGGGGGTCGAGGACAAAGGGGTGTGGTGGGCACAAATAGGATAACCCCGGACGAATAAACCACTCCTATTAAATAGTTGTTTGTTGTGTCTCCCCAAAGTGGTCTGAATCCCCCACTAGAAGGGAAGACCCTTTACTGTTTATGGTTGCGAAATCTGTTTCTCGCACCACTTGGAAAGCGTGGTTGAAACCAGAAGGTTCGTTGGTATTTACAGGGGAATCGAATCATTCCAGGGCTTCTTGGGCGGTGCGAAATGGATTTTGTCCATCCGCAATAGCTGAGTTTTCCTGCAGGTTTCCCTTGAAACCAACTTTTTTTTGGAGCCCAGCATGTGGTGCCCGGCTGCAAAGTCCCCCTTTCAAGGCGCAAGCAAAGTTGCTTATGGACTTGGCACCAAAGAAACTTTCCTTTGCTCAAGGACATGTGTTATTTTCCCCTGTTGGTGTTGAAGGGGAATCTATCACTGCGGGAAAAATAGTTTTTTTTTCAGGAAACTTAGGCAAATACAGGGAACAACTACATGATCAACTTTACATTGAGGGAAATCCAGTGATTGTCCGTTTGGTGATTTTTGACTTGAGCCGCGACCGACACCTGGCCAGACGAAGGCTCGTGCAAGACAGTTGCTTTACCATAAATAGGTGCGGCAAGAAGCGCTGTTGAGGGTTTGCATGTGCATGTGCGTGGTTGGGGCCCCTCCTTTGATACCAGCATTTGATGACTCGTGATTTGTGATTCTGTGGGGCCAAGAAGCATCAACTACTAGTTGCCTGAGTGATTTGCCCTGATGTTTTAGGGGAAATCGTTACTCCGTTTCGGGACATGAGAATCAAGAAAGCCCTCGTGCTGAGGAGCCTTCTATGGGGGCTCCACCCTTCATTTGCAGGGGATGACGGTCTGACAGCTCTTTGGGGCCGTTTGTTTCAGGTTGGTGAATCAACGTTGACCCTTGATCTTGAAACCCATCAATACCCATGGCCTCCAGTGATAGGGAATCCACCCATTAAAAGGAATTGGACACCGGGACCCCAATCAAGATGAACCAGGGGTTCTGCTTTCTCCGGGGTCCAGTGAAATATGGAGGACACCGGGACCCCAATCAAAATCAACCAGGTCACATTTTCTCTGGGCTTCTGCTTTCACCTTCGCGCCCCAAACAGCTCCAAACAGCACCCGGCCGATTCAACGTGCCATGGGCTCCATTTGCTAGGCAAGTGCTCAGGGAATCTAGGAGGATGTCAAACACGACTAGCACATGCTTATGTTATGCTTATACGTAATATGTATATATATATATATATACACGTATATGGGGGGGTTGCTTTGGACCACACTGACAAAACAAGCAAGCTGGTTGGGCCCACTACTGAAACATATGTCGACCCTCCATATGCTCTAAGAACCTGTGTGTTCCCCCTAGTTGTTTTAAACATAATCTATCACTAGTGGATGTTGTTTTTTTTGGTCCAGGGGTCAGGGGACGTATCCTTTGCTCTAAGAATCTATGTGTTCCCCCTGTGTTCTTTTTGTACCATAACTACTGGATGTGTCTGGGCACGTATCCGATGGAAGCGACAAACCCCGGTGAAAGCAGATCGCGCCTCGCGAGGCTCCCGGCTGCGGGGGTCTCCACGAGGTCTACGAGAAGGTGGGCTGAGGGTACAGCGAAGCGTCCGAAGGGTGAAGTTCCCCTTGCCCAGAGGCTCCCGATTGATTTAGGGCCTTCAAACAACCTGGTTTTGAGACCCCCAACCACCTCCGGGGTGTCTAATGGAGGGGTTGGGTCTTCCATTGAAAGCCCCAGGAGCCTCTGGGTGGTGAACATGTCACTGTTGTTGGGTTTAGATGTTTAGGTGTTTACCTGGAGTCTCCTTCTGACCCTTTAACAATGGCTGGTCATTACCCTAAATAATGGTTGGTCATGGACCTTATTCTTAAAGGGTCATGGAGACTTCAGGTAGCTGTTTCTTTCGTTTTTGCTGGTTCTGTTCATTTTAATTAGCGGGGTGCTTCCAAAGAATCAGGTACTCGTAACCCTTAATTGGTACCTATCTTTAAAGGGTCATGGAGACTCTAGGTATACATATATATCTTACATATTTGTATATATATACACATATTGATTTATCCGAACGACGATTTTATGGGGGAGGGGTGCGCCAAAAAAATCATTGAGACCCAGAGGAGAAGGGTTCATGGGTCATAGTTTCTTCCAAGGATTCTTCCAAGGATCGAATCACTCATACTCTTGTAGTTTTCCCTTACCCCCGATCGGTGGTTTGGGGATTTGAACCCGGGTTCTTCTAGAGGGTAAATGGGGCACCGCCCTCTAACGACCAATCCACCGGGCTCCAAACCAATGTGCGAAGCTGAAAAGGGGTGGATCGCCTTTGCTTAGAAACAAGACACATCTTAGTCCGCCAGTTGGATGGTTCATGGGGCTCATTCCAACTCACTCCCTCAGCAAAGACCACGGGCGCCAGGTGTGGACAGCCGAGGGCGAGACCTTCTTTGACGCCCCGAGCCCAAAGACGCGAGTGGGGAGTGGGGAGTGGGGGGTCGGCAGTTCCAGGCTCCGTTGGGTAGGCGCTTCCCCTGAAGCGCCAGTACTGTTGCTCGTTTCAGGGCAGCCCTTGTTGCAGGCGTTCGGGGATTCGGGGAAGGGGAAGTTTGGAGTACCAGTAATGTTTTTTGCGGCGGAGGGAATTTGAGCACCATTTTGCTGGTTTTCACAGCCAAGCAGCTACTTTCTCTTGCATGGCGCAAGGGGGGCAATAATTTCAGGCGCGGGTGCTTTTTTTTTGACATCTTCGTCACTGGATGCTTCACTTAGGACCCCTCTCATTGTAACTTGTCTTACGAATGGTTTCCCAGACCTCCAGTGATCCGCTAAACCCATCCCCTTGCCCCAACTGAAGCTATGGGTTCGATAGCTGCCCACAGCTTTGGGGTGGTTTGGAGGAGCTTTCAGTGAGGGTTCGAAAGGAGATTCGGTTCCGGGGCTTTCCGGGGCTGTTGAGGATACCACCTGTTTGGGCAATCGCAAGCGGGAGGTATCCTTTGTTTCCAGGAAATCAGGTCGAGAGCGCCCGGCCTTCTTGCTGAGGATTGGCAGTTCATTGAGAAGAGCATGACCCGTGGTGCTCAGCTCAGTCGAGCTCATCCACCAAGACAAAAGAGAGATGGAACAACCTCAGGTTGGTGTTAAAGGGAATCTATCACTGGGAAATATGTGTCCTTGATTTGTTTTCGCCCGGACGAAGAACTGCAACTGGAGGGGCCAAACTACAACTTGTTGCGCGCGGTTCAGCCATCCAGCTCGCGTCAAAGAAGGCCGGTTGCCAAAGACCTGTTGCCTCGGGAAATGAAAAGCTCACTTCCTTTTTAAACTTTTGAGTTTGGAACATTTTAGTGGTAATGTTGGAACCTGATTAATACAGCCCCCCACCCTCAACAATGGAGGCACTGGAATTCTGTAGGCTCACTTTTGGGACGTCCAAACAATGGAGGATTTTGGGGCCCAATTCTGCTTTAGTATTGCAGCCACTTCCTTTTTGGAATTCTACTTTAGTATTGCAACCACTTCTTCCTGAGCATACTTTTTGGAATACTAATTACGTTAGTAGCCATTCAAAGGGTGTGCCTTTCAGCCAGGGAGGGCTTGAGCTAGAAAGAAACCAATTGAAAGGGGAATGCTTTTAAGTAAGTGGGCCACCAATTACAAGGGGAATGCGTTTAAGTAAAGCAACTGACTGTTTATTTTCTGGAGGGGGCTGGGGGCTTGCAACTAATGTGGTCCCCCTAAAGGATGCCATTGTTGTGGTTTAGTAGGGTCTGTGAGGGGTACCCTTGTCCTGATGTTTTTTCATTTTTTAAGCACGGTTTAATAAAGAATTTGCAGTTTCAGGGCTGGGGATGGTTCTCAAGTTTCAGAGGTTTCAGCTGGCTTTGGGTTTTGTGTTTGAGCAACCAATTAAAAGGGGAATGCTTTAAAGCAAGTGGGCCACCATCAACAATTTGTGGATTTGTGGATATTACTTTGGATTCCCCCCCCCCTTCCCCCGGCTCGGGCAAAAACAAATTTCAGTTATTCTGGTCCCCATCAACAATGGGGGTGAACCACAACAAGGAAAAACTTTGCATTATTGGCTATCCCATGATTAATCGGGTGTCAACATTAAATGAACAAGTTTGTTACTGTTTTAGGCCATCCACTGAGGAAGTGAGACTGGGTGTATCTTAAAATGGGTGTGGCTTACTACGAGTCCCAAGGAGGGACAAGTGACGAAAACCTGCGGTCCCCTGGCTCGCTCGACCAAAGCGAATCGACTTCTTAAAATTTTAGATTTGCCTGATTTGGCCCATTTTTAGCCACGGCCCCAAAGGTTAACCCTGTATTCCCAGAGGGTCCAAGTACCTTCTGAGGAGTTACTTAGACCCCCCAAAAGCCATCCTCATGAGGTACTTGCACCCTCTGGGATTTCTGGGTCCTTTGGGCAACTGAGTAGGGGACCCAAAAAATGGTTGCTTCCTTTTGCTTTCCTTTTTAACCTATAGAACAGACACCCTAAAAAAAAGACCACAACAACGGGGTACCCTCCAGCAAAAGACACCCAGATCCGTGTATTTGTGTGTCTAAGGTGCGGAATGGTATCTCAACAGATCAGCCGCTCGGCCGAGACAAATGGAAGCTTGCCGTTTTTATCCGCTGGTAGCTATAGCCAAGCCTTGGATGGGATCCATGTCGCAACTACCTTGACAGTGCGCACACCGCAAGTAGATTGCACACTTCCCTCGCGCGGGCGACAAAGGGGATGAACGCCTTCCATGGGCCGATTCGGTTTCCCCTTACCACTCGGTATTTGAGGTATCCTCGAAACAGGAACCATACCAACAGGGGGTTGAATACTTTGTCCATGCTGTCTATGCACAAAGCCCGCTCGCTTCGCACCAGTTGGGATGGATGAAACGTTGTCATAAACCACAAATTCCCAATTGATGCAAAATGGACGTCGTCCATCCAGAATATAAATAAGAAGAAGAAAAACGTATACCATACCTAAGTGGTGAGTAGGCCAGTAAGCCTGGTGAGATAACCCGCTGAAGGGAGACTTAGAACCATGGCTTGTGTGGGTTATTTCACCAAGCTTACTATTCCCTTGCCTGACGTACAATGACCCTGTGGGCTTCCATAAAGCACAAAAATGGCTGTGTGTCAAAACCAATGGTACCATTGTGGGGAAGGTGCACCACCCATTTTAGTCTATTTCAGTGGGGATTGGTATGTTCACTGGGGGTACGGGCTTTTGACCCATGGCCAAACACCTGGGCGTCCATAGATGGTTTCCCTTGGTTTCGTTTCAAGACAGCCAACGGCCCGAAAAAATCGCTGGCTCCGGCGAGGAGGCACAGCGGCAAGCCGTGGCGCATGCGAGCTCTGCGGGGGCCATCATCCGCGTGGGGGAGCAGGTGCATCCCTTCAAGCCCTTTGGAAAGAAAGAAGTGGTTGGGGGCGGGGGGGGGGAGAGGGCAGGGGGTTGGGGGGATTTGGGGGTTGGGGTTGGTGGGGTTGGGGTTGGTGGGGTTGGGGTTGGTGGGGTTGGAGGGGGCAAGGGGGGGGCGCTGTTTGGGGGTGGGGGGGTTGTTGTTGCTTTTGTTTGTGGGTGGGGTGGGGGTTCTTGGAGGTTTTTTGAAGTTGTTTTGTTTGAAGTTGTTGTTTTGTTTGAAGTTGTTTTGGTTGTTTTTGTTAGATTTTTAATTTCTGTTCAGTTGTTCAGTGCCACCCTTCTCCCTTTTCGTTTCGTAGGGTCGACCCCCAAAACAATTTTCCCCGTGCTACCAGAGCCATGGGACCGGGTGAAGGCTGCGCTTCTTCGAGGGGATTCCAAACTCGCTTGGGCGAGTTTCCCCTCAAACCACCAGTGGAATTTGAGGATGGCACTGGGAGAAAAACCCGGACTCTGCGGAGACGGCTGAAAGGAAACACCGAGGCGTCGTTCCTTGATGCTGCACTCGCCACAGGCCCGACGTCCGCATCGTTGGATCAGGACACCTCCAGCAGCGTTTTTCCTATTTCCCTTTTTCCATGGAGGTGGCAATTGTTGATCGCAAAAGCAACGAGTTCTTTGGCGCCATATGTTTGTGTGAGGTCGCGCTCTGTTTTTTTCCAGCCGGCATTTAATGGTGACCCATTCGCAAGGTCCTGGAAAACAGGAAGCACCACCAAAAGGCCCTGATTCAGAACGGAGTTGGTATATCAGGGGTTAAGATGGGTTAAGGACTAATGTTGACCCGAGACTAATAAACTCATCCTATTGCTAAGCAGGTTGGGGCTCCCGCAAAAGTGATGAATCCCTACCACAAGGGACCCCCTGCTGTCAGTTTGGGTGTTGAGCCCACTACCCAAGGGATTCTAACTCCACTTGGTGCACTGGACACTCTCGGGAGAAGGCAAGAGAGCCCACAAGCAGGCTTCGCGGCACATTAGCCCCTCCTAGCCACGAACCCAGATGTCTTGGCCAACAACGCAGATTTCTAGCACAGTGTGTTCATGATCAAGAGGGAAACCCCTGTTTCCAGACTTGATTTTGATTTACTGATATGCCTCTCAGTTGTTCAGTGGCACCCTTTTTCCCCTTTTATTTGGTGGCTGCCCCACTCAAAATGGTCTCCCCAAAAGGGGTTCCCTTTTGTTCCAGGGTCACTGAACAACTGAGGCCTGTTTCACCTTTTTGGCTTTCCCCAAAAGTCTAGGCCCTGGCTTGGCGCTTTTTGCCAGGCGTGGCGCCCGGATGTGGGCTTTATCGTGGCCGCTCGGCGAATAAGACGAGGGCGAAACTTTGTGCGCCCGAAACAAATGGTTGCTGAGAAATCCCCCTGACGGCACCTCCGTGCCATCATGGTGACGAGAATGATCAATCCCATCTTTCTTTCCCTGAGCAATAAAGTGGGACCTTTTCGCAGGTGCCATGGACAGTTGAATGATTTCCAACATATCGGAGATTCTAGACGGGGCCAGAGTTCTAACTAAGAACGGAAAATGAGACACTAAGAGCGGAAAAGAGGGATACTAAGAGCGGAAAAGAGGGATACTAAGAGCGGAAAAAGTAATAGTTCTAGTAGTAGTAGTAGTAGTAGTAGTAGTAGTAGTAGTAGTAGTAGTAGTAGTAGGGCGCGATGCCACTAGGCCACGGGGGCCGTGGCGGGGAAGGTCGCCGAAAATAACCGGGCAAGAGGAGAAACAAAAGCGGTCAAAGCCTTGGAAGAAGAAGCCGTGTGAACGCTAATGAGCTCACCGACCCCGGGGGGGCTAAACACGAAGTTCCGTACTATACGTGCGGCTTCGGTGTTGGAAAGGGGCGCGGAAGAGGAAACATGTGATATGTGATCGGCGGGCCCCCGCCGCACGACCGCACGAATGACGGACGAACCTAGTTGATCCTGCCAGTCGCCATATGCTTTTCTCACAGATTAAGCCAAAAGGAAAGGAGCGGGGAGCGAGACACGGCAAAAGCCAGAAAGAAAGGAGCGGGGGAGACGCGACACGAAGCAGCTAGATCCAAAGCCAATGTACTCCAAGGCATTGAACGGTAGCAGCCACACGCGTTTCAGAAGGAATTCCTTGGGGCTGACGATGGTCTGTTTCTTCTGCTATGGCGTGTTGCGTGAACTACGCGTTCAGTTGGGATCGAAACCTTGGCTTTGGATCTGGGGAGCTGCTATCACTTGATGTCTTGGAGGCCTCCCAAAACATAAAACGATCACGAAAGCCGATAAACATGAGAGAGCTGGAGGGTTAGTCATCACGAGCATGGAAGTTTAAAAGTGACTCCAATTGGTTGAGCCCCAGTGCATGAACTGGATGTAGACGAGACATAGTGGGTCGAGTTGAGCGCCAGTGCATGAACTGGATCCGACCAGCAATCTTTTGGCTTTCAGCTGTGACACTGCCTTTGTAGCTTCCTTCTCCGTGTGCCTTCAACAATGGCACCCAAGTCGGTTTTCGTGAAGGCCCAGGAGGATCGAATTTAACGAGGAGCACGCCAATGAGCTCATTGAGGCGCAGCAACTTGAAGCGCTCCGCCAGATCGTATTCAACAAGGAGTACGACAATGAGCGACTTGGGCCATGGAGGACTGTGGGTCTAAAAGGGGATGGTGATGCATCGTTTTTCTTTTGTTCTTTTCCTGTGATGCAGATGTGAAGCCCCAAGAGTTTCAAACCCTGAGGATCCTGACGCTGAGGAGAAGCGTCTTGCCGTGGCTGACATGGCCTTGAAGGAGAATGGCACGCAGCGCATCACGGCTGATGGGGACGGGGATAGCCTCTATGAGTGCATGTCAAAGGGTGCACTGGCGTTGGGCAGGGACTTGGGCAACAAGTCCGCTGTGCGCGAACTCGTAACCCGGGAGTTGCCATCTTTTGATGGACTTCGTCGATGTCGACTACCAAACCTGGGCCGAGAACCAGTGCATTTCGGGCATGCGCGGGGACAAGGTGTGCGCCTTTGCATTTTATAATGTGACAGGAATCCAGTTCAGGATCCAGCAAATGCTGGAGAATGACACATGGGGGCAGACAGAGATTTGAACCGTCCAGAGGATCCTGAGATCCTCTTGTTCTTCACGCTCAGCACTGATCTTTACGACTTGCTGCAGGAGTTGGAGGGGGAGAAGGAGTTGGAGGGGGAGAAGGAAGTGGAGGGGGAGGAATTGGAGGGGGAGGAATTGGAGGTGGAATTGGAGGGGGAATTGGAGGGGGAGCGTGAAGAACCAAGAAGGGAGGCAAAAGCAGAAAGCACGCCAGTGGTGGAGATGTCGTGGTGAGGGCTGCCACTTACGACATCGTTGATGCCCAGTACTTGCCCGGCCAGATTCCCGAGCCAGAGCTCAGTGCCGTGAGTGACGGGAGCACCGGTTTCTTTGGCTCCATCGTCCGCTGGACTGCCGGAGGCCCCTGCGCCAAAGAATCCGCAGCAGCGAAACGCATGATCAAGGACCTTCGGGCCTTCATGCGGGCACGTGAGGGAACCTTTTTGAAGTTTGATGAGCCGACGATCGCAGGCGTATCGGCCATGCTTGACAGGCCCCCATTTACCTGTTGCAGTGGGATGCTGAAGCGAACGTGTATCGAGAGGCAATGTACTCCGATGGACTGTCGCCCAAAGCGCTATGATGGTGAGAGGACTTACAGCCTTCTGGATCAGGAGTGGTTGGCGCGTCAACAGCCCGATATGCAGATGCGAGACGTGCACGATGCACAGCTGGAGTCCCCAAAGTCCCAGAAATCGGGCTCTCCCCGCCCGACGCTTCAAGGCCGATCTAGCCTTCCAGCGGATCGCGACAAGGCCAACATTGTGGATCCCGAAGTCCCCGTGTCAATGAGGTACCCTCCGAACCGTATCTCAACTTGACACCTCATCAACTTTTCTTCCTGTACTTTCAAGGGACCCCAGTGCATGAACTGGAGCTTTACATTTTTGTGGGTTCAATGGATTATTGACGCCAACTGAGGCAAAGCCCCGTCGAGAAAGGTGCGGTCCGACGGGGAACATCTGTGCATGGCGCATGAGTGGTATACCACGGGGGCGGATCACGAGGAGTCTGGACGTCTCCTCAGTGCCAGGTTGGGACCCAAGAGTGCGCAATCCTATTGGAGTAGGATGATGCTGTTTGTGTCCTTCATTGACTCCCGGTTTGGCAGGCAGGCCAACATGATGGACTACCTTGCCATCCGGCATGTTGAGGCATATTACAGCAGCCTGGGCGAGGGTCTCATGCGCGACAATCCCTTGCTCGACCGGATGGCTGGACACGGTGAAGCGAACCATGAATTCGTTCATGTATTGCTTCATCTGAGGCATGACGGAAGAGCAATGGCTTCTCTACTCCACTCGCCATGACAGTGCCTAATGGCCCTCAAAGCAGCCCAGTCGATGGCAAAGCCTCGACGGCGAGCGGACGTGTTCGTCCCAGACTCGGACCGAGCAGATGGGGGCTTTTTCATTCGACCCCCTCCCCCAACATTGCAGGGAATGTTGGGGCGTATGGCGGCCTTTGAGGATGATGTGCAAAAGTTGGAGCACAAACTGGCAGGCCTGAAAAGCAAGGGCAAGGAAAATACGCCTCCCTTCAAGAAAATCTGTCTCGAATTGGCCCAGGGCAAGCAGGCGCTCTTGGCTTCCAAACTGTTGCTTTGGACGACTGCCAGAACTCAAGGTATCCGCATTTGGGACATTTGCGCAGTGAGGGCGCCCTGTCCGTGCTTATGTAACATTTTCTCATTTCTTCTCCTGTGGGTTTATCTTTTCCGTCGTTTCAGTTCATGCACCCAGACCGCACCAACTGAGGACGTCACCGGTGAGCTCGCGGTGTACGTGGAACCGGCTGAGGAAAAGTCAGCTTGGCGGCAAACGACCGCCAAGCAGGTCATGGATGTGCGAAAAGACTCCATCCTAGCTTGCAGGCGCTCTGCGAGGACTACCTCAAGCGCCATAGGCCAGTTGTGATTGCGAATTTGGGCACGAAGGCGATGAACAACATCACCTTTAATTCGGAGGAGCACAGGGAGGGTGCCTCCTGTTGCATGACCCTGTTTCCGGGCTATTGGGATGAGTCCCAGGTCACTGCTTTTTCAACCAAGTTAATTAAGAAGGTCATTGGCGTCAAAGAGCGGCAGGCTCAAAAAGCAATCAGTCAGAATCTCAGCGCCAATGTCGAGCATTGGGGGCTGCAGCACGCTGCAGTGCATCAACAGCTGCACCACACGGAGAGGGTGCATGCAGACAACTACAATGTCGGCCTCAGAAACTCGGTCAACGAGCTTCAGGCTTGGCTGTTTGGTTGGTAGTGTCACTCTGTTCACGAATTCATGGAGTCTGAGTGCATGAACTGCTGTCCCCTTTGGTCTCCTTGTGAAAGCTGATCTTCTTGGACTAGTTTCCTTCCAGGGGTCTCCTTTGGCACCGGTCTCCCTTTGCCACGGGTTTCTTTGTGAAGGCTTGTCCCCTTGAAGGCCTCCTTTAAAGGCTGGTCCTAGACCTTCCAGTTCATGCATTGCGGTCCCCCCTTATTCTTCCCGCAAGAAGCCTTCCAGTTTATGCACTGGAGTCTCCTCTTGATGTTCCAAATCAGGACATTCCAGTTTATGCACTGGGGTCTCCCCAGGTCTCTTCCTAATCTTCCCACCAAGCCTTCCAGTTTATGCACTGGGGTCTCCCCGAGTCTTCTCCCAATCTTCCCACCGGGGCCTTCCAGTTTATGCACTGGGGTCTCCCCGAGTCTTCTCCCAATCTTCCCACCGGGACCTTCCAGTTTATGCACTGGGGCCTCCCCTTAATCTTCCAGCCGGGGCCTTCCAGTTTATGCACTGCATTCCCCGCTTGTTCTTCCAGCCAGTGCCTTCCGGTCGCTTGATCTTCCAGCCAGCGCCTTCCAGTTTATGCATCTAATCTTCCAACCGGGGCCTTCCAATGCACACATTCCCCTCAGATTCCCCTTACATTCCCCTCAGGTTTCCCTTACATCCCCCTCAGATTCCCCTTACACCCTTGGGGCTCGGGGGTTCATGCACTGGAGGGTTTTTTATATATTCCCCAGTTCATGGTTTTAGTGCATAAACTGGGGTGGTTGTATCCCATAGAAGGTGGCCTGGTGGGGGGTAAACGGAGGGGCCACAGGCCCCGGAGCCCTTTCCAGGCCACCTTCTATGGGATACAACCCCCCCCCAGTTTATGCATAGTACTAGTACTAGTAGTCGTACTAGTAGTAGTACCAGTACGAGTACTAGTACTAGTGGTACTCGTAGTAGTACTAATAGTAGTACTAGTGCTAGTACTAGTACTGGTAGTCGGGCCCCATTGCCCGCCAGCACCGCCCGCTAGTCTGAGAAAGGGAATCCGCTTTTCGGGCCCCATTACCAGCCAGCACCTCGAAATCGGATTCCCTTTTTGGTCTGGCCCCAGAGAGAGGGAATCCGCTTTTCGGGCCCCTTTGCCCGCCAGCACCTCGAAATCTGGATTCCATTTTTCGTTTGGCCCCAGAGAAAGGGCATTGCCCGCCAGCACTTCGAAATCCGGATTCCACTAGTACTACTACTAGTACTACGAGTACTACGAGTACTACGAGTACTACTACTACTACTACTACTACTACTACTACTACTACTACTACTACTACTACTACTAGTACTACTACTACTACTGCTACTGCTACTGCTACTACTACTACTACTACTACTACTACACTACTACTACTACTACTACTACTACTACTACTACTACTACTACTACTACTACTACTACTACTACTACTACTACTACTATTACTTTTTCCGCTCTTAGTTCTTTTTTTTCGCTCTTAGTTGCTTTCAGTTTTTCGCTCTTAGTGGCTAATGGTTTTCCGCTCTTGTTTCGCGCTCTCTAGACGGGGCTCTTCTTTGACACCCATGGGAAAGTTGGTCGCTTAGGGGCACATTCACCAACTCACGATTAGATTTGCTCCACCATGTTCCCTCTCAAAAGCATTCTTATATTTTCTACGTCTACAACCTGGAGATTTCAGACACACATCGAGCAACAACTGCTCTCAGTTCACGTGTGCTCTTTGAAAGGTTCCGTGACCCAAATATAGCGCCCATGGTTTCAAGCTCGCGCGATATGGATTTTGTCCATCCACAGCAGGGGCACAAATAATCTCCCATTATGGGACATGGGCTATGTTACTTGCACACGCGAGTGGAAGCTGTTGGGGGCATTCGGGCTTTCGCAGTGTCCCCGAGGCTCTCAGCTTCCTCTTTTTGATCGTATATGTTTCCTATGTGTTGGATGTGCCGGAAAAATAGAAGCTGTCTCGCACGTTCCAACGTGGAAACGAAGATCAAGCGTACACCCACCACCTAATCGACATCACGTGAAAAGGATATTGAGCAAAGTAAGGAGTTCGAGCCCCTCTTGGATACACCAACCCTCTAGTAATTTCAATGTAAAGCTGAAAAAGGATCAGAGGTGTGCTACGAAACATTGATCACCAGGTTCTAACACACCGCCGCGCTCGCTATATGGTGTGTTTTCGGGCCACCCGTTCTTCTAGTTGTTTTTGCCGTGTGGGTTCCTGGCCTCCAGAAAGTGCTGAATCGCGCGCGAGGCTTTGAAGTACAAGCACGTGCCTTATGGCAGCGGCCTCAGGGTCAAATGTCTAGGGGTACCTTCCCCATTCTTTCCCATCCTTCTTTCCAGAAAACCTCATAAAACCCGGGGAAAACGGATCCGGTTTTCGGAAAGAGCGATGGTTGGAAAGATTGGGGAATCAACCAACCCTTAGAAAATGTACATGAACGAGTCTCAAAAGAATGCTGACTCCGGAGAAGTAACCCCATCTTGTTGGGGTGCTTCTCCTTCAAAAGTGGTCTGAAGCCCCACTAAACCCCAGACACACCCTAGTATTAACTAAGAAACTGGGATGTACTCCCCCACAGTTATTGGGGAGGCCGTTCTTCCCAACATGGCTTCGGTTTTCCTTTTGGTTCCTCTTTAGAGCCCACCCAAGCAGTGAACCGTCCCTTTTTGGGAGGGTGTAAACATCAGCTGCGTCGCCTTTGGGGATATAGATTTATGCTTTTAGGTGTTGTAAACATCATGTTTTTGCCTACAGTACCGTTTGCAGGGTATTTTTAAGGGTGTCGCGTTCGTGGACCAAATCATACACCAACTGTTTGGAGATTCACTGTCACACGTGGACTCTTTGGCCGTTGCCTGTACAAGGAGTCCTTCCGCCTGAAACTGTCGGCGTCCTTGGAGGTCAGGCAAGCGCTCGAATAAATAATATATATATATATAGCTATCCCCCCCCAAACCTAGGTTTCATCACTATTCAAGTGGATTTGTGCCAGCAAGGGTTGCCACACAAGGTTCAGACATATATATATATATATTATATGCATAGTCTATGGTCCATCACCCATGCGTCTTCCTTGAAGGGAAATTCAGAAACAGGGCCCCAATTGAGCATGGCCCCAACTGACAACGGAGGGGCATGGTGCGTACACACAAACTGGGACCAGTACCTCGCAACCCAAGAGCTGCTCTGGCCGCATCCTCTGTGGTTTTCTTGTCTCTTTCTGTGAGTGCCAGGATTGCTTTGCACAGCCATCGCATCCACAGCTTCATGTAGCTCCAGTGAGTATCCCGCTCGGCAATGGCCGGGATGATGGAATACCATGCTCCCGTCTCCCTGTTCCGGAGTTCCCGCCCGACGCAGACGCGCAAGCTTTCAAGGGGGCTGAGGTCCCCTTGCCGACGTTGACTCTGGCAGTGAACCCTTTCAACGGGCGATGTGTAGCGCCTGGGGGTCAACAGAGTGCTTGTATGTCAACACGGCTGCAAGCGCATTGAAACCACCGACAAGGGTGCCCTCCAAAAAACTCACACCCAATTGTGAACGCACTTTGCACGGGCTCAAAATCTGTCTAGAATTGAACAGTTCCAATGGCGCCACAAGAAACTTCAAATAGTTAACTTAAGTCCTATTCGGCCGTAGAACATTTTGCTGCTGACGTACATCCTGCGGCCATAGAACTTTCGGCTTCTGGCATTAGACAAACTCGCTTTGTTGCTTTCATAGTTTGGTGAACCCTCCACTTACTGGCGCGAAGCGCACTTTCTCCACTGGCAGGCTCCCGAACCTTGAAATGGTGAACCCTCTGCAGTACTTTGTAATTACTGGTGGCAGGGGTTTGAACGGTTCCCATGTGCGCGGCAAGAAACAACATTGGCCAGCGCGGCCCGCATACCCCCGCATATGTGCCGCTCAAGTGCGGAAATGTGACCCTCTATAGGTGTTGCTCAAGTGGAGCTATGAGAAGTGACGAGTGTTTGAGAGCAGGGTCCAACCCACATCAGGCATGCGCAAAACCCGACAGTTGGAGGGCAGGCGGCAGTCCAAACAATAAATGATTTAGCGGATGTGTGCCCTTGTATGTTGTTGTTACTTTTTTGTTTGGATTTGGAAAGGCTTCCCAGAGGGTCCAAGTACCTTCTAGGGAGGTGCTTGGACCCCTTTTTACCCCAAAAGCCATTATCATGAGGTACTTGGACCCTCTAGGCTTGTTTGACACCAGCCACAACAGTGACATCCGTATCAACATAGTGCGTTGGGTAGACCCTTTGGGTATGAAGGTGACAGGTCCTTACAAGAGCTTCCAGACCCTCCCACAGGTGCTATGCTAGTGGGAGTGAGGGTGTACCATTTTTGGGTCCGTTTTGAAGGCCCTGGGGTGTGGCCTGCCTTCTGGCTGCTGAACAGCGACCGGCCTTGGCCCAACGGCCCGAATGCCCGGAAAAAACCGTCGGCTTGGTGCGTTTTTTTAGGCGTTGGACCCACCCCCAACCCGCCTGAAAATGGGGTTGTCTCATAGGGGAGCCTCCCACATGGTTGGGTTCCCTTTTGGTTTCCCTTCAAAACCAACCTGAAAAAGGGTACTATCTGAAACAGAGACGTTCCGGGTTTGGGACGTTCCGGGTTTCAGGGGCCCTCGAGAAAACTCCCCAGATGAGCGACAAGATAACTAAACGAGTGTCAGGGAGTTGGGATGTGCTTCTTGGCAAAGGCGTTGCATCTTTCTTTAGTTTGTTTGTTTTTTTTTCCGAGATCAGGGGGACTGCTCGTGGATGCTCTTTTTTTTAGCATGAGCTATCGAGCACCCTCCACGTTCCCGAAGTCTGATAACACGGACTCACACACACACACACATGTCATGGTTCCGCCAAGCCATTTGACCATCGTACCATTTGTATTTAGATTCTGAACCAAATCCTGCGAAGCCTAACTCACCGCACAGAGGTTCTTGACCACAAATCATCAACAAGTTGAACCGCCAGAATTCCCTCGTTTGCCAAGGTGCCAGGCACACTACCAGCCAATGAGCCGATCTGGTTGAGGTGTCCCTTTGGCCTGATCAATCTGACTGTTCCCTCCAACAGGTCTCCATTGACTTTCTGGTTTCACCGTCCCTGAGGGCACTGCATGTTTTTCGGGGTGCATAGGGGGTTGGTCCTAAACCGATCTTTCAACCCTTTGGTGGTCCATTCTTCCAAAAATGCTTATATAGTGTCCTTTTTTGGTTGCTCTGTAAAGCCAACCGAACAGGGTTCCCCTAAAAGACGAGCCACCATGTTCCTTTTGGCTTATGTTCTTGGAGGTTCCACATAGGCTCCTGGAACCCCATACGGCCGTTTTTTTTTGGTCATACGCCTTTGACCGAAAAAAAACATGGCCATACAGTTTTATACGTTTTTTTTCAACAACATGTCGAAAAAATATGGGTTTCATGCGGGTGATTTACGCAAATGACCGACAAATCATGGCCATACGGGCAAATACGGCCAAATACGGGAGATTGACCGAAAAAAAAACAGCCATACGGGGTGCCAGGCTTCCAATACATTGTCCCATTTTGTTTCACATTTCACCCTTTTTGTCTCGGCCAATTCGAGCTTTCCCTGTGGTTTCCGGTTTCCCTTCAACACCAACAAGAAGGGGGTACCCTCAGTGCAACAATCATGGAAGCTGATAGAGGCTACTGTCCTTTTGGTGAAGCCCCAAAAGGTCCACCTCCATGATGCAGGGAGGGCACCCCCCAAGGAAAGACGAGCCACCCCCGTGAACATTGGGACCCCCGAAAATTCATCTCCACGTTCTACTTTTTGACTTCCCCAAGGTAGACTTAAACCCAGGGGTTTTGCTTTTAGGGAAATCAACCACCCCTGGGTTTAACTCTTTTTGGGGGTCAAAAGGTCGAACCCTGTATTTCCAGCCTTCCGTCGAGGTGGGGAGCTGGACGTACTGGAGCCACTCGCCCAGAGAGATCTACAGAGGGCCCCTGAAACTTGGCCCTCCAAGCGAGTCGTAACGGACAGCGAATTAATCTTCTCATGGGAAAACTAGTATTTGCTTCTTCAAGTAGTCTTGGCGAAACCCATCTTTGCCTCTTCAAGCAAGTAATCTTGCTTTTCTCATGGGGAAACTAGTATTTGCATGTTCCCAGCAAATCGTCCATTTTTGGTTGGACTTAGGCTTTTAGATGGTGCTTGGTTGGTGTGGTGGTGTGCCCGTATTTCACCCGAAGTGCGTCACTTTGAGCAGGTCAGAAAACGGGCAGACTGTCCTTCAACCCCGGGAGTTGGATCCGTTCTCTTAAAACAAAGCCTCAAGCAGCCCTAAAAACACGATATCCGTGTGTCTTCAAGGGGGACCTTTCTCAGTTTGCCATTAAAGAACCCTTTTGTTTTTTACAACCCTGCATTTGGCATGTGGTTCTGATGGTTGGGAAATGTGCGCTTGCCACATGTTGCATTGCGGGTGAGAAGAAGCCTTGGCCCAGCAGCGCACAAACGTTCCCCTTGTTGACAAACCTTCCCCTTGGCCAAGGCGTAAAACAAAAGCACCCGGTATACATTCGTCCTAGCTCAATCGTCACCCCAGCAATGTGGGGATTGATATGGTTTGAGACTTAAACCTGTGTGTTGTTTGTTGGGTACCCCTTTGAGTTTCGGGGAAATCAAAGGGACACCATCGATTTGTTGGGTTCCCCGCGCCGAGACACGCCCATTTTTGGAAGTGGCTCAAAGCCATTTTTGGCCAGATGGGGGCTTCCACCAGCTGACCCAATGGCCATTGTATTCGGTGGTTCTACTTGGTTTTATCTAGACAGCAAGGCCTAGATAAAATTCTGAGATGACATGGTAGAACCGTGTAGAACCAGAGGTCAGAAGGTGAAACGGGAGTTGCTCAACGGTTGGTGTGGCCATTTTCCAGAATACAAAGGCCTGTCCGTATTTTCTGAAGAGCCTGATCCTTGAACAATAGAATGGGTAGAGCGGTAGAATGTGAATCCAAACAAGACCTTTCACAGTTGCATTTTTGTCCACCATTGTTCAAGATCAAACCAATTGATCCTTAAGCGGTGTATTGGATAGGCGTGCACTGCGGAATTGTACCCCTGTGTGGTAGAGGTTAAATTTACCGGTAAATGGGAACCGATCCAGACCACCAAGTATAGGGAAGCTAAGTCCCTTTGAACTATAAGGAGCTTCAACGGGTGAACCCAAACTGCAACGAGCTTTGATCGACCCATTGTAGGTCTCTTTTGATGAATTTCAACTGGCGGGCGAAGCATTTCCAGGGTCTTGCATAGGTGCACCTGTGTACCCTCCAAACCGAAAGACATACAGAAAGATGACTATAAGATCGATGATAATAATGACAATCATATTCTGGGGACCTTACAGGTGGATGGTGTGCTTTTTGTTTGCCGTGAATCACCTTCCAAAAGGCATCTCGGAGCACATTCAAAAAAAAACGGAGCCGCCCAGAAGGAGTCTTAGGGAAAACAAATGGAGGCACGGTGATGTGCACCTGCCGCTCAACTTCAGGGTGTTTAAATCAAAGGAATCGGTGCCATTTCTGAATGGCAAGGGATTCACTTCCCTTGAAATACCAAGCAGGGTGTTTGTTGTTGCGGGTGCTGTTCTTGGGTTGGTTTAAAGGGGAAGGGCAACAACTTGGGGTACCCAAATTTTGAGGCAAACCGTCACAGGGGCATAGGTGGCATAGGTGGCCTTGTGATTGGTGAATTTGATCAGAATTAGATTGGTTCCACTGGTCTAAACTGGTTTATGCCATCCATTTGCCAGGGAAACCCATCTGCTTCTCCCCAGGGTCACCTATGCACAGGGGCGGAATCCTTTTTGAGAAGAACTCACCTGGTTGTTTTTTCTCGAAACGCAAGCATGCGGCTATGAGTGCTTCTGGTTTCCACAGGTAAACAGGGAAACAAGTCTAAAGGCACATCCTGTACCCCAGTGCTTCCACTGCAGCACGTAACCAGCTATGTTTACCAGGGTCTTGTCATGGCTTCCCCTGGCTACCAGCAAAAGTAATAACTAAAGTATTATAGTGACAACTTAGAGAGTCAAAACTCAGGGATTAGCTCATGAATGTTTTACGGGTCAAGGGATTGTGTCCAGCTTCCTGTCTCCCTGCTTTGCTTCGGCGTGCAACTGTCTCCCAGGTTCGCCAATGACCAAACGGCCAAAGTCACGTTCCACACGGATCAGAACTGCAGCGCCTCGGTCGAGTCGCTGATTGGTTTGACCTATCTTTAATCTTTTGGGTACCCACCACAGGTGCCATTTTAGAAGGTGCGTAATATATGGGTGTGTCGTTTTGGGGACGCACCACTTTTCTTAAATATATATATATATATATATATAAAAAACATGGATTCCTTTTGGCTTTCCTAACACCTGCCAAAAAGGGGTACACTAAAAAAGACACACCCATGTGTCATGAAGTCCAAGTTGAATCCTTGGGCGTGTTGGCTGAGAGTCTGCGCTGTGCTGTTTGTGCCTCTGTTTGTGCCTCTGTTGGCTGAGTCTCTGTTTGTGCCTCTGTGCTGTTTTGTTGCTCATTGTGTGCACGTCTTTGTGTGTATGGTTTTGTGTGTGTGTGTGTGTGTGTGTGTGTGTGTGTGTGTGTGTGTGTGTGTGTGTGTGTGTGTGTGTGTGTGTGTGTGTGTGTGTGTGTGTGCGTGTGTGCGTGTGTGCGTGTGTGCGTGTGTGCGTGTGCGTGTGCGTGTGCGTGTGCGTGTGCGTGTGCGTGTGCGTGTGTGTGTGTGTTGTTCAGATGTCTTAGGTATGGTTGATGCAAGCATACCACGTATTCACACAGGTCAAAACCCACGTAGATGAAGGTTACTCCCAACCAGACTTAGCCGCCCTTTTGATTCCTTACATGGTTTGGCTAGGTCATTGCAATACCAGGTTCTGATTACAACTCGCATCTGGTTTCACCCAGCGGCAAGAGTCCTGTCTCGAAGCAGAAGGCGGTTCTTGAGCTATGGCCACAGCCCCAAACAGTCGAGGTACTTTTGGGGGAGTTCTTTCGATGCTATTTAGAGTCCTGATAATGCACGGTACCAGTATTCCGAACTGACAAGTGTGGCGGTGTTCCCGTCGTTTTCCCTTGTGTGTGTTCAGAAAAAGAACACTCATAAATGCTGGTTTTCCCAGAACCCCCCTCAAAACGCCACCCAACAAAGGATGCCCTCAACAAAGGCACCCCCAAACAGCCGTCCAATTACGAGTTTGCTCCCGCGGCCCAAAGCCCACCTTTGCGCGTCAGGTCTGAATGTCCCGAAGATGCTGGACTGCGTCAAGGAGGCGGGAAGACAATAGAATTGTCTTCCTATTCTCGCGAGCTGGCCGATTGGGGTGTAGAGTCCTTTACTTGGATCCAATTCTTAACTCAGCTTTTGGAAGAGTAAAATTTGCAGATAAAAGTGGTATACAGAAACAAGGCCATTTCTTTTCTACCGAGAAAGTCGGGCAGAGGGCTTTCAACATGTGTTTCATTCCGCATTTGAACCACTAGGTTGGTACCAAAAGTCCTTGGGTTTTGGGACACTGGTTGAAGGCAGCTACCAACCTTGTTTCGCCTGTGGTTTGCGCTGGGGAACTGAACCCCTGTATAGTTTCCACCTGTGACTGGGGGTTTGCCCTGCAAAAATGAGGGCGGGGGGTGGGGGGTAGGGGGGGGGGGGGGGAAAGGGCCGTTGGTGTCATCTTGTGCCATTCAAATTGGCAAACCCCCCGAAGCACCAGACTTTGTCCTTGAATGCTCGAAGCAGTTTGGTTTTGGGGGCGGACTTGGCAGAGGACCCACCGAACTCTGAACCCCCTGTTCTCAGGAAGGGTAGCTACATCCCTGAAGAGCTTTCTGATGCAAAGGCCAAGGTGCCAGGCAATGCCAGACATGTCCTCCCCCCTTTGCAGCTGCGAACGCCTTGAATCTCAGGAACCCCTTGGACGGAACTTTCAATCAAATCAGGGAATCAGGAAACCCCAGGGTGAAATGGGTTCCTTGCACCCAATCACAATCATGTGTGTAGCATTCTACAACCCATTGGTTAGAGCCCCGTACACTCGTGACTTCCGCAAGCATGGATTCCCCGATTTTTCAATACGTCCCATGCTAGATGTCGGACATCACCGACGAGATGGCGCGGGAGCCCGGATGTGACTTGAGCTTCTCAGCTTTTGGAGGAGGCCATGGGTATGTGTCAAAGGGACCCCAAGTGATTTTCGATCGCTCCTTTCGGTTCCCCAAGCGGAAACTGGGCTAATTAGTGATCCGGGGGTCCCAAATCCCAAAAAACCGTGGCTTTGCATCCATGAGGTTGCCCCTATCAGCACATGAGCAATGGACGTCGGCTCATGGTGGTATCAAACATGAACTCCACTTACACGTCAGGAATCTGCGGGTCGCAAAGAAGGTTGGGCCAAGCAATAGGTTACATGTTTATACGCCTGCTGATTAAACTACCTCCTCTAGCTGTCCTTTTGAGGGGTTTTCCCGGCATGGTGAGTGAGGGACTTCCTCTAAAATGGGTTGCTCCCCCCTATGAATCAACCAGGCGTTGATTCAATCCGAGTCAAATGTACCAGGCTCTGGTGGTGAAAAGCGATTGGATGTCCCTCCGAATGCTGGTTGTCCCTTTGGTTTCCTTTTAAACCAACCCAAAAACGTCAAAAGACACGCTTACCCAGCTTTGGAGGAACAACAACTCAAGATGAGACGTTTAAGCAGGAACCTATTCGGCTTTCGAGACTGCTCCTTCACCTGTTTTGTTTCCGTATCCTTTCAGGAGGAACTGTCATGTCCAAGGGGCCGACCCCTACCAGCAGAAGGTGTTAAACACATCAGGCTCGGGATTTTGCCACACTCTTGCCAACAGACCTTTGCACATATTTGTTACTTGGAGTTTCCATGACCCTTTAAAAATAGGTCCATGACCCCATTATCTAGAGTAATGACCCACCATTTTTAAAGGGTCAGAAGCAGACTCTAGGTACGAACTGGACTACTTGAAGGTAGCCATGTTGAGATATGGTGAAGTAAGTCTTCTAAGTGAGTTACAACCAGATGCTTTCTGGGCAGACAACCAGAAAGAAAACAGATTTCTGCGAGTTACACCAGTTAGATCTTAGAACACCAGTTTCACCAATACTACCTTTTAAATGCCAAATTTTGCTTCTGACTCAAAGATCCGGTTCTTCCCTTGGCCCAGATCCCCAGCTGCCTCACCAACTACAGCGGCAACGCCTTGGGCTGCCTCCCTCCCCAGGCGCAGAGCTGACCGACCGAGTCGGTCGCAAGTTCCCGGGTGGTTTTCACTTTGAATCGGCGCTTCTTTTTTTTTGGGGGGGGGGAAGGAAACCAGCGCTTTTGGGGGATTCCCTTCACTTCCATTTGGCTGTGGTTGTCAAAAGCAATGGGATTCCATTTTGGGGTAGGTGCACCACGCGTTTTAGGCTTTGTTTTAGTGGAGATTGGGATGTTCACTGGGGGGTAACCGGGCTGTTCACCCATGGCCATTTGACCTGGTGGTTCCCAGCCATCCGGCCATCCGGTTCCTTAGATTAGCGGTGGGGTTTCCAGTGAACCACAGGGGATCTGAAGACATCCCCGTTGCAATGGATCTGGGGGTTGATCAATATTCCATGTGAGCCACAGTCAACACCTGGGTAGATGAAGGCTAGTAAGGGACAATCCCAACCATAAATCGCTGCGGCCGCCTTCTTAATTCTTTACATGGTTCTGGGTCAACCACCAGGTTTTGATGGTAACTCATACAGGGCCCCCAGTATTGACCATGGGTAACTGTCTCGTGTGGAAGGTATCATCTTTTTTTGATTGGTTCTCCCCAATGGTCTTCCATGTAAAGGACCTGTTGATCAACCCCATATATTTGGTGTATGTTCCCCCTGGTTTTACAGGGAGTCGATTTCAACTACTGGACATATGCTTTCATTTTTTCCCGTGGACTTGTTGGGGGGGATTCCCTTATAAAGGAAGCCGGGAATGAACCGATTGGGACTCAGGAAACCATAGGATGGATGGTTGGCAGTCCCGGTTTTGGTTGGATTCCCGAGGAAAGGAAGCCATTTGCAGCGGCTGCAGTTGGAGATCTCAAAATTACGTTTAGGAGGTGTCCAGGTGCTGAAATGAATATAGGGCTGGATTACAACCATTCTTCTCAACCATTGTTCTTTTCAACAGCCAGCCGTTTTCCCTGGAATTCTGGAGGTTTCTAGAAAGAAGGATCCCTAGAAAGAATGGGGAAGGTACCCCTAGAATGTTTAGAATTTCCCCTGTTGGTTTGAACGGGAATCTATCACTCCTGGGCTTCTTTTGCAGGGGCTTAAGCAAATGGAAGGAGGTGATCCCTTGAATCCACAATCGAATGGCAGAGGGCCGAGTGGTTGAAACCAAATATATTGCTGCGAGTTGCCGTGCTTTCCACACTCCCTTTGCAAGTTGCTAGTCATTCTCAGTTGGTGAGAATTCAAGTGCACGGTTTGCTGGCTTCCATTCGAGAGAGGGGAAAAGCAGCCCGTCACATCTATGGTCTCCACGAAGCATTTTCATTGAGGCCCGTGCCCCGCAAGGTGAGGAAAGATGGCGAGTGGCATCTCGGCAATGCGCTCAAAGCGCACCTTGAGGTCTGGGCCCGTGGACCTTTCACGACGTCGAAACTTCCTTTTGCTTAAGAATGTGTTTTCTGATTTTCCAAAATCTATCACTACTGGCAATATGTGTTTTCCAGTGGCTTTAGCAAGTGAGAGAAATTGGAGGGGATTAAACATAAGAGTAACATGGTAGTGGAACATGAGACATTCGAAACAAGCTATTTGACTTGAGAGCCTTGGTCCCGAATTTCCGGGTCATGTCCTGCTATGTGCCCTGCAAGTGGATCTCTTTGAGTCCTTGAGTTATCTGACCCATGGCCATCACATGGCCCATAGGTGGCAACCGACCGACTGACTGACGCACCCACCCACCCACCCACCCACCCACCCACCCACCCACCCACCCACCCACCCACCCACCCACCCACCCAACGATTCTGCGATGTTGGACAGCGTTATGTTGAGTACAAGACTATCGATAGGCAACATTCAGCTGCAGAACCCACGAGTGCTAGGGCAAGCACATGCTTCATTTGTTGCCATCCAGACTCTCATGGATCGTGTTCTGCCATGAAATCATCTTCGTGGTCAACATGAGTACCTGTAATACAATCAGGGTGCCCCCAGCTTGGAGCGATGATCCAGCTTGGCTTCAATACTGGAGACGCTGTAGTAAAGTTGTACATTGCTGATAGATGATTGACACAATCCTGCACCAGTGCTGATGGATGAAACCAGATGAATATCTGGATAGACCACCTACCAACTGGTGTAATATTTTTTTCAGCCACTGTATTTGTTTAGTTCTCCCAAATCAAGCCACAGTTTGGGATTGTGCACGTGTGTTTGGCAGACATCAGACTGATTACCCGCCACAAAGCTAGGAATTTGTTTCGGTTTATGTCCAGAAGGAAACCGCCATGAAACCAAAGCCCATGGATGCGCATTCTGCACGACACAGAAAACAAATAAGTCCTGAAACCGATTCCCTCTCCAATTCACCAAGATCACGGTGCCGTACTCCGATTGGCAACTGACATGTTCCCATGTTGCATGTTCCCATGCGTTTAAGCCCTGGGGGTTTTGCCCAAAGTGGCAGATTGGTCTGGTGCCTTGGCATCAAGACCCAAAACAGATCCCCATTTGGTCCTGGCTTGCTGGCTCAGGCATCAAAAAGGGGTGTCGGGAATCAGCCTGGGGATCCCCCAACCAACCCACCTGGACGTTTCACTTCGGGGGGTGGGCGCCCTTGGCACGGCCTGGTGACACAGACGTCTGTTTACGCTTTGGTCATCTTCCCATGGTTGTTGCGGGGAAACATGTTATTTTTTTGCTGATAGTGGTTTAGTGGGAACTCCGCACTTAGCTGCTAGAAAGTAAATTTTGCTCCCCTTCCAACGTCAGCCAAGTTCCAAAGGGTGCGTACATTGCATATTCCATTTTTCTTTTTGTTTGGGCCAATGTTTGGTAGTTTCCGGTTTGTTGGTCCGTTTTTAGTAGTGATCAAGGGATCCACTCCAAAACGGGTGATATCGTGGATATCCCCTTGCTTTCGCTTTGAACCACAAAAGGGGGTACTTAGATGTTCGATTCGCCAAGTTAAGTGGTGATCGCCGCTTAGGATTGTCACCCCGTAACCAGGTTGACCCCACCGAACGGGGGGCTTAAGTGGGTTGAAAGCCTACCCCCGACTCCAAATACCCGGCCTTGTTTTTGGGGTATCATGTCGACCCTGTACTAAAAAAGGAGGTATTTACCTTGAACAACCAGTGTGTGCAAAAAGAAACCCTAGAAAAAGGTGAGTATTTGGAGTAGGGGGTAGGTTACCCTTACAACTTGCTACTTGGCCGAAGACCCAAGTAGAGAACCCGCGAACACCTGCACTTTCACAGAAATGTGTGCCCAGTTTGTATGAACGCAGGTCACCGGTTCCACTTCCAGCACAAATCCGTCCTAGCGCGAATTGTAGTAATTTCAGTGAGCTCCTAAGCTAAACCAGGGCGGTCCATGGCGAAGTAATGTCAGCGAGCTCCCAACTGCTAAACCAAGCTCGCCCAGGGTGAAGGCGCTTGTCACCAGAGAAGTAGAAGCCCACAATCCCTTCTTTTGGCAGCAGCAAGCACGGGCCCCATGCCTTGGCACAGGGTGTGCCACGCCGCCCGCGACTGCGGAGTTCGGATTTCGGCTCACCAGGCATACGACGCAGTGTCCAGTCGACGGAAGCAGCGCCTTTGAGAAGATTTGGGAAGTCCATTTGGCCCCTTCTCATCCAGCAAGAGGATGCCACCCGGGGCTTTAGGTGTGGGTAGGTTCAAGATTGTTCAAATTGGAGTGGTAAACCGGCTTTGGAAAAACCCATCTTGGATGCCCCATGCGCGGATTCCGCCAAGTGTTGCACGCGCTGAGCACCAGATGAGGCGGGGATCCATTTGGCCGACTCGGCCAGGCCTTTCCGGGCCATTCTGGATCCGGCATGTTCATCTGCCATTAAATTGGGGACAAGCTGAAGCAACAGGACTCTAGCTTCCTGGACCTGTAAAAGGACCCACTTGTTCTTTGGAAGAAAAAGGGTGCATTGGGGGATTGGGGGTCCAGGTTCTTCGGCACGGATTGGGCTTACTCCTTAGCCATGGGCCGCCGAGCAGAGTTCCTGGACGCGGCTCCGGAGAGTCCTGCTGAGCCTCGGATTCACGAGAGCGGGCTGTATCGGGGAGGTCTTCTCTACGTTGCCGCTTCTTGGGGCCGAGCTTAACTCGAAAACTTAAAAATTAGGGTTGAAAAGGGGGCAGGGGGGTGTCTTTTCTGTGACTTCTGGGACAGTGAGCCGGCATTTACCCCCAAAATATGGCCGTGGTTAAAGCATGGGGACCCCGCCTTTGGGTATAGAAAGAATAGTTCAATCAATATGCCGTTTTTCCCGGGGTCCCTAGTTTTGAGCCACGCCCGTATGTTTTCTGAGCCTTCTTGTCGCTGACTGAGGACTTCCTGGCCACTCCGCCCATGCATCTTGGTTGCAACTGGCGATTCAATCGAGTGGCCTTTGGGTGTGGGTCCACTTGCTGGGTCTTGCTTGTTTGTGAGGGTACTTCGGTACGTACCCCTTTGCGGACGGTGACAGCCAAAAGCAGCAGGACATTCAGGCACCCCAAGGGAGCTTTGACCACGGCACGTATTTTGTGCTTCTTTAGGAAGCCACAAGCGTCTCTCACTCCCTGAGCACCTGGACTTGATACTTTTCGGGCGTGGATTACAGCGAGAAGGGATTTAGGATGATTTGGGCAACCCAACGAAGTTTGACCATGGCACCTGTTCTGTGCTTCTTTAGGAAACGACACTTCTTGAGTTTAGATTGTGGTAAGTCAAGAAAAAGCTCCGACTCCTTTTGGCACGAGAGAGTGAGCTCCATACCTTTTGGCACTTCCCAGCCGGTTCCTTAGGTGTTTTAGTTGCTTTTCCTTGGTGAAAGGTGGTGGCGTTTCTCCGAAAATTGAACCACCGCAACTTGCTGGTGCGAGAGATGCAGGGAATGAGAAATGGAGTGACCCCCTATAAACCATGCTGGTGGCTTTCTTCAAGAGGACCAGGTTTATTCCCACATTCCCTACCTACTGTGGATGGACGACATCCATTTCGCACCACTTTGAATCCATGGGAAGCCAGAACGTTTGTTGGTATTTACAGGGCAATCATCATTCTAGGGATTCTTGGGTGGTGCGAAATGGATTTTGTCCATCCACAGTATCGCACCAGCAAGTTGAGCAACCACAACCCCCTACTCCAAATACTCACTTGTTCTAGGGTATTTTTTGCAAAACCTGGTTTTTCAATTTAAATACCTCCTTTCTTAGTAGAGGGTCGGCATGATACACTAACAAAAGCGTGTATTTGGAGTCGGGGGAAGTTAGACTCACGTGCGGAGAAACGGACAGCCCAGAAATCCCCAGTCAGTCTGGCGGCTCGCTCAGGCTCAGGCGCAGCCGCCTGCAGTCCTTCCAGTCCTTCCTCGCGCCCCTGGGACCGAGAAAGCAACGCCTGCAGATGGGTCTGGGGTTAGTGGTTTTGGGTTTCTTGGTGAGGGCTGTGGGTTTTTCGGTGTGTTTGGTGCTTTGGTGCTTTGGTGTTCTTGGTTTTTGTTTTTTGGTGGGTTATGGGTTCAGGGTCTATTGTTCTGTTGGTTCCTTAGGTGAAGGTTCTGTCTTTGGGATGATGTTCCAGCAAATCCTTTCTCAAAGCCATCGTTTCTCAAGGCCATCCCTGTTTAAAGGGAATCTAGCATTACTGGACTTCTTTCTGAGAGACTTACGCAAATGGGTTGTAGAGGAGGGTAGCATGTTGGAAAGGGGCATTTTAGGCAACACGTTTCCTTTGGTGGCCTTCTTTGGCAGTCAGTGGAACGTCTGCAGCCCGACCACTTTTTTGAGAAGGGCGACCTTGATGCCACAAGATCAATACCACACACCCTACCGAGGCAGGCAAAGGAACAAAATATGTAGAATGGGAGACTGAGGCATTTCAATCCCAATTTTATTATGCTTTATAGGGGAACGGATGTCTGTAACTATTTAGCCCCTCACATTACTCAGGCACCCCTTTTTAATTGGCGGTTTGGATGGAGTTTGGGGATTCGAACCCCTTCTTGTTGAGGGATGCCCAGACCACCTTTTCGTTTGGGAAGCGGCATGACAAAGGAGTCTCTGACGCCTGTGAGCCTTTGGGACGGGCATTGAACATGTTGGGTGCAACTCAGCTTCCCTCAAATGGCTGTGGGTCAAAACCAATGGTACCATTTTGGGGTAGGTGCACCACCCATTTTAGGCTTTATTTTAGTGGGGATTGGGATGATCACTGGGGGTACAGGATTTTGACCCATGGCCAAATTGGTGGCTTGGATTGGCTTTGCAATTCGTCCAGCAGCTCTCTTGAGAATTGCTCCTAGACGGCAGAAGGCAACTGGTCAACTGGGTGCCCGATGCAAATTGCAACGGGTGAGCACCCTTGG